CTTCATGCGACGAGTTGAGTTTTCTTTTGTATCATATATTCGTGACATTCATAGTAAATTACCAATTCACATTAAAACGACATTACATTTTCATGGCAAATGAGGGTTGCTAGTATTTACAAGTGTATATAACTCCAACTTGCGAACAAAGGTGCGAAATTTGAGCCGAAAAGGAATTCGCTGTCTGTGGTAAGGCGCGATGTTTACTTATACCCAATACACTCGCATAATATTACACTCACCAAATGCGATAATAATTAACACGAGGCTTAAGGTTTGTAGCAGAAGCCCAAGTTCTGGGCCATTTGGTAAGAGCATTGTCGTCTCCGGGGCATAATTAACTGCGGTCGTCGCCGTTTTCTTGTACGCCGAGGTACATAATATTATTCCGAGCAATAGGCCCGTCGCCATGAGATTACATTCGTCCCAGAGCCCCCGACAGGGTTGTTTATTACAGATGAAAACGTTTAAATATGAAATTAATTATAAATTGTTGATAAAACATCAAGCGGCGCAAAAACAAACAATCGGAGTGTAATTATACAATGTTTTCACACACGTCGCAGACCCTTCTATTCCACTCGATTTCGACAAAGCTTTAGGCCACGTTATGAATTATTTATCGGAGAAGGCGTAGACAACAAGAGGATTGTGGAATTGACACGACTCGTGATGGTATTAAGTTTTGGTCTCCCTCACAACATCAAATAAGCCAAGAGATGTACACAAAGTAGTGTGGTGTTATGAGACAGCTGTCTTTATGGCGTATGTTGTGACAAATATTGGTGGAGAAAAATTATCACGCTCTATTCTAACTGTATTTTACAGAAGCATACTGTACTCAGTGGTGATTATAAATAACATTTGAGGGGACTAAAATAAAATATTATAGGATAATTAAGTTGAAGAGCCCTTTACCAACCCATAAATGCACACTTGGGGAAACCCAGTATTATAAACCACCCCTATTTTTTTTTATGGAATGTGTATAAAAAAATAAACTATTTCTAAGAAAAACATCTTATGATTATACACAAAAATTTAAGCAGCCCCAAAATTTAAATTGAATGTGCACATATGGCTTCCCTCAATTATTTAAATTATAGTGAATATTTTAAATACATTACACTTATTTTTTTTATGAATATTATGTGAATTCTTATGATAATAACCGTATCTATAGCGTACTAAATGATTTTTTGGTATAATATTTAAACAAACTACGTCCCAAGGGAAACGAACCACCTATTCCCCACCCTATAATCACTACTGACCATATGTTTTTATTATATTCACTAATAAATTGAATTTCTCCTTTATTACATACTACTATTTTGACTATTTGTCATGCATATACAAGTATACACACAGACAAGTCTATGAAAAATCAATTTTTAACTTGCACTTTTTTTAATCGATTAATCATTTATATTCAGCTGTTCAATTCTAAAAGAGGAGCTAAAGTATTAAGTTATTTGCCCTAAATTTTATCGCCTTATTAAAAGTAAATAAATGATTGCCAATAATAATTATAAAATAGTATCCTTAATTATACAGTAACAATTTGAATTACAAGTGAAACTATAAAATGTATTAATAATAATAATTATTTGTTTGTTTGACAAAATAAATATCATTAAAAACTGTTAAATTTTATACGATTTTTTTTTTTTTTAAAGTTTATTTTTAATAAAACCCTGATTTAAAAAGAAAACAGACATGTTCATGAAACGTTGTGTAACTAAGCAACACTGTACCATACAAAATTGTCCATTTATAGAGTTTATTTATTTGCTTAAAAAAACTTTGTTTCCGCATATTTTGGTTGGGTTGGTATCTCGGTATGATATCCAGTCTCTCGTTAAACATAGGTTGACATATCGAGCGAAAAAATTTGATGTTGCGTAGAATTTCCTCTAATGATACTAATTATTGACTTATCAGAGAAGTACTACCGCTCGTTGACGTTATTTCTAACTTTTTGTTTATTATTAACATTAAATTCAGCTGAAAATGTATTTTATACTTTAGTTATAACGTTTCTCTAGACAAATAGAGAGAATTATTGTTATAATTACGTTAGTGGACCCATGGTATCAATATTTTACATTAATGCTTTGTTAAAACAACTCTGAAAGTCTATTGGTATGAAAAATAATGTGTTTGAATGTAATAATATGGTTGCACTATATGATATCACGTACATTTCGATACACAGTACACGGGCAATGTCATAAAAGTTTCTTTTCGGTAAAATAGGTTAACTATGTACAACTGAACGGAGCAAATTAACTGACAATTATTCTACACAATCATAGGTATGCAATTTATTTGTTTATAAAATATAAGTTATGTGTCTACAATAATAATACATATTTTTTATGATTGGCGTCACGCTTAGCTATTTTGTTTTTAAACTCATATTTAAGTATTGATAATATCAGCAAAAGTAAGGTGTGTAATTAATACGAAAACTTGAGCGTTGTATAGAAATATTATATCACGATGATCATTTGTCTTAATCTTCTAATTTCTGTGCGTGGCGTATACTTAACATAATTAAAACTATAGACTATTTTAATAGTACTGAAATCATGTATGAAATAATTCTTGAAAAAATTGCTCTTTTTTTGAATAACAATTTTTTTCCATTACACATACTGTATATTTGTATAATATTTTCATCAAATAATACTGTAATTAGTTACAATTATAGACGCAATACTTATTTACAAATTAAAGTTTCCTTGACCTCTGCATAAGTACAAATCTCTATTGGTTTCTACCTTGAATAAAAACTATATACAAAGGTAAAATACTTTATTTTCTAACACTTATGAGTTCACATCAAAGTTTCCATTTATTCAATTCAAAACTTAAATGAGCTATTAATGATAAAGTTACGTTTATATTGATTAGCTTATATATTAACGTTTTTCTTCTTGGAAAACAATTGCTTATAAACATAAATAATAAATCCAAGTAAAAACTAAATTAAAACACGATATATATTTCCTAGTTTACAATTTATTATTTAATTAGCACGCTAAGTAATATCCACCGTTGACTAAAGTGATTCACAACTTATCCTCTTGAACCGACAAATTTATATTTACAATTGACATATTTTTAGTTACGATAAAACTTTATTATCTCGTTTGAAAAACTGATAAAAAAATTAGATGTTTGAAAAACATTGAAAAAACAATTATTTTTTACAACTAAAAATTTATGGTAACAAATTTATAAAATAACCGAGATTGAATTAACTTTAAATTTAAAATTATTCTTATACTTAAATATTTAACTACGCACTTGGTTTTTATTTTTATTTCTTCATGGCTATATGAAAGAAAATCTAAATGACCCGGTTTTATAAAATAAAATGTAATAAACACTTAATGATTTTACAACATTGATGCTGTAAAAATATATTATTATGAACAACCAGAAGTGTAATAAGAAACATATACCATATATGATATAATATTTTCTTTTTGCCAGAGAGAATATTTTACTTGATCGAAATATTAACATCTTTTATAAACTGGTATAAAAATGTTTAGAGTGTAGATATTAATAATAAAAATAATTTTATCAATAATCATAAAAACTATTATTTGTTATATCTCTTGTTTTTCTTTTGTAATTAATACTACTTTTACAAAGTAACAATATGAGAAATGAAAATTATTTTGTCACTTTTTTCATAACGTTTCAATCTTAATCTATCAAATGACATATACTAGTGAAATTCTCATTGGAACTAGTGCTTCTTAAAGAAAGAGATACGGTTTCTCATTCTTCGATCGTTTTATTTTTAGTTTCGTTTTTTGAGACATTGACGAATCGCATTCTATGGATATGCTATACAAATATAAACGTTCACCACTTCAATATAAGTAAATTGCTTGCAATGTTTTGCTACGTGACAGCGTTGACAGCGATTCGTCATTATACCTTCATCAGTTTCCAAGAGTCACTTCAGTTCAACCAACTCTCGCTCTTGCATTTGAAACAGTCATGTTATTTGAGAAATAGATACACTTAATAATTTAATTGACATTAAAAAATTATAATTCAACTATAATATATTCTAATAATTGATAACTATTGTAATTAAGGGGTGAAAGGGGCAATGAAGGGGTGAATCTCCCCACTACTCTATGTTATAAAACTATCTGGTCTCCTCACACAAAATATCTAAATATGCTACTGCACCAGTTGGTTGCTTTTTCCGTTATTCATATGCAATTAAAATATTAAGTAATAGTTAAATAAATAGATTATGCAAGTTAACTTTGAAGAATATATATTTTTTTTCAATAATTTAGTAAGTTAGGTTGATAAATTTGAATGTTACTCCAACATTAAGAAATGTTTATAAAAATATGTATTTAAAAAAAATTGTAATTTTTTTATTGTATTAATATAATATTTATAACGTTAATTTATTTTACAAAATAAATAAAATGTTTTACATTATATTATTATTGTAAATAAATTATGGTCGCTGAAAAACATTAATATATCAAAACGGGTCACGAGTAAAATAGAATAACGTATTATATTATATTAAAATAAAACCTGCAATTTCCATTATTTTATAAATTCATCATAATTTAACTTTATTGTTAATTAGAAGCGTCATTTTAAGTATGCTGAGTTTACTTTTGCATAACTCAAATGTTCGAATTATAATTTTTGATCTTAAGACAAATTAGGCTTTTATAAGTAATTGTAAATAGAATATCGCAATCAAAGATTATATATTATAGATCTGAACCAGTTTTGAAATGATGACTGTATTCTTAATTATAACAGTAATAAATTTATTATTATTCATTATCTGTTTTACTATAAAGTTATTGCTATTAATTCTTGAATAAGTGAATATATAAATTGCATCTTGATAATTTGTTTAATTTACAATTTCATTTTCTAAAAATTTAGTTCCTATTGTATTACTGATATTTTATTAAATTATGTATTCAATTTAGGCTAAAACTAGAGAGTAATGGTGGTGCATGGTGTCCTAAAGGTGTCATTTCGAACGATGGTCGACAATACATTGAGATAAATTTACAAGACGTTTATGCTGTGACAGCAATTAAAAGTCAAGGACGATATGGAAATGGATCTGGAAAAGAATTTGCTGAAGAAATTATGATAGATTATTGGAGACCTGGCTTTAGTAAATGGGTTCGTTGGAAAAGCAGAGACGGAAAACAGGTAAATCTATTTTTATTGTTTATTTATTCGAATTGCAATTCCCTTACACTAGACTAAAGAAACAAGTTAACGTCTATATATCTTATAGTGGTCAATATATTTACATTAGTTTGAAGAAATATAAATTTCGTTCGAATTCTCAACTGGCTTGGTGGTCTAGGGGTATGATTCTCGCTTAGGGTGCGAGAGGTCCCGGGTTCAAATCCCGGCCAAGCCCAATGATATTTTGCAATTTTTTTTTTTTTTTGTTTCTTGAATATCCATAGATAAATTACTAAGTGAGTATCTAACAAAATATTGTTTTATTACTAGAGTATTTTATCATTTTATTGATATAAAATTGATATTTTATTTTAGCTAGGAGTGGTCCTAGGAGCAAGACTATTTTTAAACCTATTAAGAAAAGCTAGTTAACATTATTAAGATTTTTGTTTTAATAACACAATAGTTATTGTACATAAAATATTTTTTAGTTCCATTGAAGACAATACATCACAAAATGTTTTTTTTTCTAATATATAATTTTTTCTAATATAATGAAACGACTTTCTTTCAACAAAAACTTTTTTCTGTTAATTGGAGGTTAATTATCATCTATAAAAATAATGTTTATGTACAGGTGGTTTATAAACAAAACTAAATTGTATAACTTTGATAAAATTATTATTTTGCTATAATTTTTACATGGTTTGACAACGTTGAAAGCATGATTTTTATTTTTTCTCTTTATTTTTAATAATAATAAAAATTAAACAGTAATTATTTTTCAAAAAGTTAAAATAGCTTTTTTTTAGACCTTGTATAACAATATTTTTGTGGGTCGGTACCAATTTTAAGATAAGTACTTATTGGGTTACAAGCATATGAAGACATAGAGTGTGTGCTTGAGTGGAATATACATTATACATATACATTTGTACAAGCTTGATTTGGTATCCACTCTACGTATTAGAATGCTCGTAACTTTATAAGTACTTATATATAAGTTATAATACACCTATAAACATTCTTCGTAAAAGAAGATCTTAAAAACGGCTATTTTAAAATTAAAAAATTAATTTGTTTTTATTATTAAAAATAAATAATGAAAAACATGATTTAGCATAATCAAAAAATGCAAAAATTGTTAAAAAAAATAAAAGCAAAATTTTAATTATATCAATAGTTATAATAGTCAGATTTTTTCAACCTGTATAATTATACAATGAAATTATTATAGATTTGTTAAAGATATGCCATATTAGTTAAAAAAATAATTTAAAAAAATGCAAAAAGTAATTGGGCTTGGCCGGGATTTGAACCCGGGACCTCTCGCACCCTAAGCGAGAATCATACCCCTAGACCACCAAGCCACATGAAGAGATCGCAGTAATTCTAGTCTTTTAGCATTGTTTGTTTAATACTAAACATTCTACAAATATTTTAGCTTTAAAAACATTTTTAACAGTTATTAAAATTATTTTTTTATTTTAAACAATTATTATTATACTTGAAAAATAATTGGGTTTTTTTTTTAAGACTAAGTGTCAGTATACATAGTAAATTGTCATTGTTATGTTAAAATACAGCAAGTACTAGAAAATATTGATTCTTTTAATAAATGTCAAGTACATAATAAGTGGTTCAGTACCTATCATTCAATATTTATTTATAAATAATTGTATTTTTTCAGTCATATCGTGTATAATGCCGTTTATTCGTTATATTTAATGATAAATAATAGTTTAATTATATTTAAATATAATATAACTTAGCGTCGTTATAAAATTTAAATTAAATTTTTGAATACAATAATAATAAATTTATTTTTCAAATACATTTTACTTTTAATTTTTCTAATTAACTCCATATTAATATTTTATTTATTAATAGAAACAATTTGTATGATGTATTCATCTATTTGTATACAGTTCCGATTATGAAATAAATCTAAATTATGATTTTGCAAAAAATATAATTTTTAGAATTAATAAATGTTAGAAATAATAATTATTACAATTCCAATTTGTCACATTGACATTTTAAAAACAAGGAGTTTGAAAACTTTTACAGTAACTGCGTATTTTATTAAAAGTATTTATAATTTCTTTAAATATAAGCTCTTTTAATTTGACTGTAGACGTGCATTAAGAGTTTTCATCATGCCATCTAAACAAAATGAATTTTTTATTACTTTTGATTGCATGGAAGGCGATTTATTTAATTTGAATTATGATTGAAACTTATAAAACGTTTATCAAAATAAAGGTATTCAATAATATAACTCATTAGCCCAATGAAAGATTTTATACATAAGTAATAATATGTGTTTTAGTATTTGTTATACAAATTATTCTTTAATTTCTTTATAGTTTTTAATGAAATTGAGGAAATAAGCAATAATATTTCCATGTATGACGTAATATGTGTAATATCATTTTTTTTTACTATATCTGGAAAACTAAAAAAAATACTCGCTATATTTCAATAATTAAAATTTACATTGTTACTTAATATTCATTTATTAAATAACTTTATAGAAAATTATTGACTGGTATTTTCGTTTAAAATTATCAGTTGGTTTTCATATTTGATCTATAGAATTCACAATGGAATGTTCAGAATAACAACCTTATTTCTTTACCTTATTCATTTCGTTTATTATACCTAACGCTCCTCTTCTATTTAATATACTAAATGTACTATAGTACATAATAATAAGAAATGCTGGTTTTACGTTATTTTCTGAAAATATTCAGAGAACCTCGAAAAATGGTTATCTTTAACATTTCATTTAAAATATATATATTTAATAAAATATTTAAAAAAAAAACGATTAGAACTGAATCGAATGACGCACAAAATATATCTTGATGTTGATTTACTTAACTATATAATTTATGTACATAGTCTAAAATAATTTGCATATTGGCTACTTATCACTTACACACTCACGAAACATTGAAACTAAGGTGAGGTGGGGTAAATTGTAAGCTTTTATTTACTAAATAAAAGTCTTAGATAATAATAAAATGAATTGTATATTATTTCTTTGTTAAAAATTATCATGTATAATATAAAAACTATTTAGTTTAGTAATATTGAACTATTTAGTACCTTCATCTGTATTAAAAAGTTCAAATAAATTCAAATTCAAATTTGTAGTGCTTAGTAAAGTAAAAAAAAATAAGGGTCACCTTACCCCAATGAAGGTGTAAGTGCGATTCTGAAAATTAACAATGTTATTATTTTTTTAAATATTTAAGTGTGTGGTTACGATGATACAGTTTATTTCATACAATTATTGATTGAAATAATTAATATAAAAGCTATGGTATATTTTTTAATATAATTTATTCAGAATTTATATTTAATTGATTTATTGATCATTAGACAAAAATAAACGAAGAATTCTTAAATAATTCTAGTTATATAATTCTTAATCAATAGGATCTAAACAATTGATTTCATGCTTAGCCTGGGACACAAATGTATTAAGGCAAGTGTGAAATTTCATTTAAATAAATTATAATATTATTTAATATTATTTAATTGCTCAAATGTTAAAATATAGAACAAAGAACGTGTTAATCATATAGTAGAAACAATCAGTATTTGACCATATACCAAACGGTATCAAATTTTTACAAGTGAGTGATAGCAGAATACGTCACTTAATATTTGACAGGGCTACAAACATAAAAATTTGAACAATTGAAAGATGACAACATAACACTTCGATTAAATTTCATCTAAAGTATAATCATAAATGTTATCACATCCAAATGTGTAGCAGCACGCACACATACCCAATCAAACCTTATAGAAATTGCATAAGTTTATATTTATAGTAGTTATCGTCAAAATCGATTAAATTTTAACGGCATAATACCTTGTGTTATTAGCTATAATAACTGGCACACAACTTATATCGGGAAGTATATTCATTTATAAATACAAAAAATTTTCAACGGATATAAAAAACTAAAATATAATCATAAGGCGTTTTAAATAAAATAATTTATTTAAACACTTACATTAATGTAACTGTAATTAATTAATTACAGTAGAACTCGCATAAGACGATCTTCAAGGTACCAACTCTTTAGAGCGTTTAAAACATTGGAATATTTTCTAACGTTTCATACAGTTCAGGGAACAGCGAAAAACAGTGTCTTATGCGGGAAATAAGGGAATGTCTTAAGCGTGTTTTATTATTATGTTATAAAAATCAAGGCTGGGTAAGTTAGTAATTTTTTCTGACTTGTAAAGTTTAGTCAGATATAAAAAAATCAAGTTAACTTATAAATTATTAAGTTTTAAACTGAGTTAAATTACTAGTTACTTTAGAAAAAAACAATAGATTATTAAAGTTAGTTTTATAAATTCTAACTACCGACCATAAAAACTACAAAGAAATATTATAGTATTACTAAAAAACCACATAGTACCACTAGACATTACATAATTAAATTATTACTGCTCAAGACATAAGCAGTTTATCGTAAGTACAATACTTCCATGGGGTACAATTTATATATTTTTTCAATATTTAAAATTTCCCCAAAAAAAAAACAAAAGTTACTTTACTAACTAGTTAAGTTAAAAAGTTAAACTATCTTGACTTTTTAATGCATTATTATCCAGCGCTGCGCACAATGGACCAACAGGTCTGAGTGCATGGGCATTATGTCCACCTGAATAATAACTAATTGTCCAGCACCGATAAAAATATAATATAAAATCGAATCAATTTAAAAATCGCAAGTCTACTATTATGATTATCAATTATTGAAAAATGACTTTTAATTTGTATTAACATATTCATAACTTTCTGAGTAACTATTTTAGTTAAATCAGAATTATTTATTACTATTTTGTAGAAATTATTAAAAATATCGGCAGGAATAGTGACACAAATAAAAAAAACAAATTTTACAGGAAAGGTGAAATGAAATAATTAATTCTGCGATATATAACGAATTATTTAATAATGACTTCTACTCTAACAATATATTAATTTTATATTTTGAATAAACTGCAAATTACATTTTCTGAACATTAAATAAATATTAATCTAGTGTAATAACGAAAATTTTGCAGTATTAAAAATGATACACATCACTTTCTTTAAATACTACTACACAAATTTAGAAAATGTATGAAATTTCTATTGAATATCTCAAACTTGCAGTTCTCAATCTTAGATCTCTCAAAATAATTTTGAAAGTGCAATAGATTTTTATGAATTCATTAAATAATTTTATTTTAATATTTTGTTTAAAATTAATACAACACAATATGTTTTCAATCTTTAAATATAATTACTATTTAAAAAGTTGATTGTGAAATAAAAAATATGAATTTTACAAATTATTAGAATATAATATGTTGACATATGACCAAGAAAAAAATTGAGTTAAGCGAAATACTAATAGATAGCAAATAAAAATACCAAATCTTCTTTTAACCGATTTTTGTTATGCGCTGAAAAATGACTGTACAACATATTACCATTTGTTTGGTACACATAAACACGAATACTAAAACAGCAGCCATTTACTGTTTCACAAATATACAAACACATAACACCCACAAAAGTTTTATAAATAGTAGCCATTTCATGGGATATTTGAGTAAAGAAAACTTTTGGGGTATCACTAGAGATAATTCTTTAATGTTTAATACGCTTTTTAATGTCGCTCTTAACTATTTCTGTACGTATATCCAACTCTAAAGATGTTGAACACAAGTTTTTGGATAAACAACAATTTTATCCTTTACTGCATAATCTTTTAAGAATTTTTCTAATTGTCTAGTAGGAATTTTGGTACATTTACTTTGTGTACTAAGCACAGTGTGGAAACATAAAATGTAAATTCTTTTAAAGCTTTTAAGGCCTTTAATAATTTATCTAGAAAGACAAAGCCGTTCAAATTAAAATTCAATACAATAGTTCAATGTGTCAATATAACATAATATTAACATAGTATATTTAGAAAAATATTATGAACGAGTTGTAATAATTAATTGAATAATGTCGTTATTGTTGTTATTTGTATTATTATTCAGCAAAACCGTATGGGCCATGAATCTATTATGGTTAAAATTATTATTTAAACATGACGGGGCTTTAATTTTTTGTATTTGTTTCATTTTATTGTTGATTTAGCGTTTTTAAATTAAATATAAAACTATTGATATAAGCTAAAATGTAAACGTACCAAAAGCCAAATCGTTAAAGTATTTTCACAGCAAAAAAAGTCTAACTTTAAAATACTCCATGACATATTTATTAATTTAACATGTAAAAGTAAATTGAATATTATACCTTTCGCAATCGTGTGTAGACTTTATTGATTTTAACTTAATGAATTTTCATAGTATTTGGATTAACCCTTGATTATATTACAAATCCAATTATGTATCAAGTAATATTGGTTTTATGTAAAATTAAAATTTATTTGATGAAAATAAATTTAAATTTGATTGATGTGAAAAATAACAAAATTATTTTTTTATTTTTATATATATATATATATATATTGAAATACTTATATTAACTAAGAAAATATTTAAATGTAATAATTAAAGTGGTTATATTTCTAGATACTAATCAGAAAAAATTAAAATTTATTAGAAACTATTTATATTATGTAAAGAAAAGGAAATTTACTAGTCAGTTTTATAACGAAGCCTGTTTTTAACACTTCAAAACTTTTGATTTATATTAATCTTCATTGAAATTGTATATTTATTTTTTATTTGAAATATAACTGTATATTTAATGTTTATTGTGATCTTTAATAAAAACCCGAATTTTTATTTTAACTGACCTAATTATTATTTTAATGTTTACAATTAGCTATATTTTTAATTGAGACTAGCGGAGACTGAAACAAGATGATGGTATCAGGGATAAATTGATACAGATCAATTACAAATTAATTCAACAATATAAGTTGAATGAAATATAATATTGCTGTTTTAATTATTATGTTATGAAGTACTCCCATACATATATTTAATATTTCACTAATATAAATAATAATATAAACATAAAATTAATAATAAAAAATATAATTTTGCGGTAAAAAAATAAATTTCAACTAGGCCAGAGTAAATCCTGCAATAATTTTTATATGGGATTCGAAATTGTTTTATATTAAATAATATTTGAAAGATATCAAATTAATATTTAAATATTGGAGAAAATTTACGACACTAAATACTTCATAGTTATTACCAACGTACTTTTGTGTATCTATAATAAATTTTTAAATTCATTAATTTATATTTTTTTCTGTAATCTCAGCAAGAATATAAATTAAACATTTCTTTAGTAATGTGAGCTCATGGCTGTATCTGTAAAAAGGATACCAAGTGTATGGGTCGGGTGACTGGTTTAAGGACGGAAATAAAGAAAATGCTAGCCAGCAAAATAGATAATAGATTTGAAGACCAAATACTATTTATTTTAGTTATTGATTATTTTTAGAAATCGTGTTTTTGTATAACAATACAAAAAAATATTTTATACAGAAATGTTCTTTCTGACCGAAAAAAGAATTATCAAATACAGGCACTGTAACCATTTGATTTGTTTGGAGTTTCGGTATTCTATTATAAATGGTTTTCAAAAAACCAGTTTCATTCAGATTATCAACATTTTTCATCTTTGATTGAAATATGATAATTTTGATAACCTGATTTGTTATCTAAACATTTTCAGTTTTATAAATGTGTTTTCATACATTGTAACAGAAGTGTTATGATAAGGCAAAATTTTAGGGCTGCATTTTGAGTTAAAAACTCTAATTACAGCTATAGGGTAGGTTCAACCTCTAAATTATCGGATCTAAGGTCACTAAAGTTATCCCCTAAAATATGAATAGTAATGAGCAAAACAAAAACCACTCATTGGGAGTGGTATATTTGAGTATCCCGAAAATAAGCATAATTCCTAAGTGTAGTCCTGTATGAATCCATTAAAATCATTAATACTCCAGATTTTATATAAATTTATCTATAAATCAAAACCATATTTCTACAAGTAAAACAGACTAAACACAGTAAGCATACAGTAATACAGAGTATATATGTATACAATATTACTAAGATAGAATTTCAGAATTGTAATAATTAAAATCTACTATTTGTAACATATAATTTGAACTTTAGTTGATAGGTGGTAAATGAAAACCAATGCAATTTTTCCTTCGTAAAAATAGAGTAATTTACTTAGTAATTTTGATTAGACTAATTAAATTACTTTAATTATTCTACAATACTTGTGTTATTTGAAATTTGATTTTTTATCTACTACTCAATTTTGTAAAATGATTACGACGAGAAAAAAATATTATGACTGTAAATAAGTTTATGTTTGAAAAATAAACCGACATAAAATGATGGTTTGTCTGAGAAGGCGAGTCAAGTCAAATTTTAACATTCATAGCACAATTCATATTGGTTTTCTTTTATTTTTTTACTGCATTGAGCTGTAATAATGTTGTGCTAATAGATGTTTGTAAAATAAGATTTGAATTTGAAAAATCACGTTTACACCCAAATTAAAAATATTTGCCTAGATATATGGACTTCTAAAAAATTACCATTATTGTGTTGAATACATTACAGAAAAACTATCTAAATATTATATAATCAGAATTAACCATTGTCTAAATATTAATTTATATCGTCAAAAATTTTTATTCGTTAGAAATTGAATAATTTTATTATTTTAAATATTAACCTAATACTTTTTACATTTCATGAAATGCTTACAGAAGAATATGTAGTTTCAAACTATTATTTTATTTCTAGATATTGCAAGCTAACAGTGATACTAATACTATAGTTGAACGTCAGATAATTCCTGCAATTATTGCATCGAAAATTCGTTTAGTGCCTTATAGTGATCATCCTCGTATGATGTGTCTTCGAGCCGAAATTATCGGTTGTTATCATTATGGTAAGTAAAAGTATTTTTCATACTGTTGTAAATTAAGTAAACAATGAATTACCATTACATCATTATTTTATAATACGGTTACAAATTTTTAGACTAAAGAAAACAAAAACAAGGAAATAATATTACATGTTATTATTTGAATAGCTAATAGCACAATTATATTATTTTAAAGCCTACATTTTCTAACCAAAATAGGCTATAGGTCTTAGGCATTTAATATTTGTATAGAAACACTTTAGGGTAGTGGATTGCATCTAAAACGTTTTCAAAAAAGTTATTTAAACATACGAACATTTGGCTTTTATTAAACATAAATTTTAATTTAGGTTTTATATTCCTGAAGGGATGAAAAAAATTACCCAACTGCATATTATTTTGAATTTTTAAACTGAACTATTTTTTCCACTACAAAAATTAAAAATTTTCAATAGTTTTCAGGAAAATAATGTTAGACTAACCGCTTTATATTCATCCAATAAAAAAAAATGTATTTATTTACTTATTTTTTAAGTATTACATATTTTAGTTTACTTATAATATTCTAAATCATTCTTCTAAAATTTAAGTTTCTTGAGATACAACGTTTAAATAACAGTTTATCTAATTTGCTACGATTTTAAGTTTCATTAAAGTTCAAAAATATATCTACTGATATAAATAAGCAAAGATCAGTTGGGGTTGGGCTATCCAAAATTTAGCCCGGTCTAAAAATCGAATAGGGTCAGATCAAACATTAACATTGGATCGTACGAATTATAAAAAATTTCAGTTAAACCATTATTTTCTTTGAAAATAAAGTGTTATAAATGAATATTAAAAAGGTAAATAACTTTTATTTGCCTTTATTATATTTTTTAAATGAAATGGATTCGGACCGCACTTGAAAAAATAAACTTCGGATTGGATTTGAACGAAAATTTTACATATACAGTGTGTTCAGTAAATAAGGAAATAGGTCACTTGTTACAAACATTGAGAACAATAGAAGCCCCTCCTTACTTACTGAACACCCTGTATATATATTCGGGTTGGATCGATTATAAAAATATACATATTGAGTCGGTCGTAATTTTATGGTCCGAACTGATCTTTGTTAATCAGGCAAATTGAATACAAGCATATTTTTTGTAAATAGTTTATATTTAGTTTTTATTAAAAGCAAAATGAGCAAAATTTATTTCTTATAAAATATAAAAACAGTAACGATAAAAATATATATAAATCATAAAATTAGGCATAGGTGTTAAAAACATTAAATTTATACTACAATGTGTAATAATAGATACTTTTAGTACTTGGAATATAATTTCATTTTAAGTACAAATAGGACTTTTGAATTAATACAAAACTACACTTTATAACTTACACTTTTCATTGCTGATAAATAAAGTTTATGTTTTTATAAAATTTATATAATTTATCGAGTTATAAATGAGCAGCGACTGTTAAAATTAACTCGAGTTAAAATATACTTAATTATCTTCGTGTTCAGATAATGTTTTTTAATAACAATACTTAATGCATTATATATAAATACATGATTAGCGTATAAATTGAATTATTAGACAGTTTGTGTTAAATGTAATCTAAAATGCAATTATTAAAAAAAATAATTGTACAAGATAAAACCTAGGCAGAATTTATTATCCCCCAAAATCACAACATCATCAAAATACTTTTTGAAGTTTTTATTCCAATACGTTTTATTGATGTTAAGAAACAAGATTTTGTGAATAGTCGAATGTCATAAAACGACATTAAAATAAAAAAGTAAAGAAAAAATTAACGCATTTCAAAGATAGTATAAGAACTGTCATAAACTTCGAACTAAGTTTATTTGAGGAAAACTGTCTAAAGTATCAAACCTTGTTTTTATTTTCATTTGTTTCGACACAGTTGATCGTATCGCAGTGTATACGGCAATGCTTTTAAGTCTAACGCAATATAACTTCATATCAAACGTGCTGTGTATTTTATTGTTTTACTCTTTTAAGCACTAGAACACGTTTTGCTGTACTTTCGTACCGAGTGAATAACTCAATATATAACATTTATTTTCAGAGGGCATAATCAATTATTCGGTAATACAGGGTGACATTAAAGATTTCGGATATGACGGCCGTGAAGAGAATGGAGTTTTGATCGGAGGTATCGGTCAGCTATGTGATGGCCGACACGGTGTTGACCAGCCGTTTGTTAAAAGTATGACAAATGCAAAAAACTTTACCTTGTTAATAGTTTTCGTGTAATGTATTAAAATCCTACAGAGTTTAACGAATGGGTTGGATGGAAAAATGACACGAGAGGATACGGATCTTCGGTAGAGATGACTTTCGAATTCAATTCGGTAAGAAATTTCACCGCCTTGTACATGTACTCCAATAATGATTTCAGACAAGGCGTTCAAGTAAGTAGGACATAGTTTTTTGTTTAAATTTAGTTTTTTCAAATTGATTTAAAATAGTTGATTTACCCATTATAGCTCTCCAAAACTTTAATGTCGGTTAATGGGTTATTATTTTTATACACATTATATGTTTCGCTCAAAGTACCTGGAAATATTGTTGAGTCATATGAGTAATGTTTAACTATTGAAAATTGTAACAATTACGTTTTTTATACTCTTTATGTATGTAAAAATACATAGTAAATGTATTCAAGTATCTCAATACAATTTATAATTTGTCTGGTGTGACTAAATTTTTTACATTGATTATAATAATTTAATATTAACGTTTTTATTTTGTTAAATTATATAAATTTTTACTTTAAACATAATCACCAAAGTATTTTAAGAGTTCTGTAATACCGTAGGATTGATTGAAGAAATTGATACAGTAATTCATTAATTAAAGTTTACGCTTAAAAAAAAAATTATTTTAAAATAATAAGTAATTTATAAAATTTGAAAAATATAACAATAACGGAATAAATCAGATAAATTACTTTGAAGAAAAAGTTCATTTAGTTTTTTAAGAGTAATTGAAAAAAAAAACAGCTAATACTACTAGCTATAACTAAGAATTTTCATTAAGAATTTGTATAAGAAAAGTTATACCGGTAAACAACTCTGAGTTTGGAAAATTCATTCAGCTCAGATTGTTGTTATATTGGAAAATCATTAAAGCGTATGATATTTCATTGTTATGTTAGTAACGTTTAATACTAAAATATTAAATAATACCCGAATAACATTATTATACTTTTGTTTATATTCATTTCCAGGTATTTTCGCATGCCAAAGCGTATTTCAGTGTGGGCGGTGAACACTTTTTCCCTGAACCGGTGTCCTATACTTACCCCGCGGATACTATTATGTCGGAAGCAAGAAACGTGACGATAAAACTCCACCACAGGACCGGCAAGTACCTCAAACTTCAGCTATTTTTCGCCAACAAATGGATGCTGATCAGTGAGATATCATTTGAATCGGGTAAGTTAAATTATATTTTCATTAAAATTTTAATTGGACCGTTATTCTCTTTATTCATTTATATAAAAGGAATTACTGTTCCGTAGAAACCAAATTAGCGAATTATACTACACCCTCCTATTAAACATTCATTATTAATTACTGGGATCCATAGCCGAGAATAGAGCGATTAAATTTTAAGTGAAATTATAGAACAAAAAATTTATACTCTGCTACTTCAAACTATTTTTGGTTATAAATAGTTGACTACACGATGGAAATACCATAGTTTGTAATGAACCATATCCAGTTATTAATTAGTGGTTAAAATATAATTCATTTATTATATTAATAGTTGGTATATTAAATAAAACTATATTTTTTTAATAACTACGAGTGCCGCCGGCACATTTAAAAATAATGGTTGATTTTCTCTTTAACTATTTTTTCAATAGAATTAATCAATAAAAGTTTGTTTTAAAAAAACAAATTTTTATTTCGCATTACATATATAAATCATTTTTTTTTATTAATTTTCTAGAGTCTTAATTAATTTAAATGTTTAATCTATCAGTTGACTATTCTAACAAACTAAATCAAAAATTATATTTTATTATATTAATTTGGTCGGAAAATTAAAAAAAGTTTCTATTAAAAACCTTTATCGAGTTACTTAAATTGTTCTTTAGGCGCCATTGGTAATTAATTTTAATTTTATGAATAAACCAATAACCTAAACGCTTCTCGCAGTAAATTTTTATGAGTATTACATAATGTCGTCATTACAAAAATATTCAATTCAAACATTTCGCTATTTTAATTCAGCTAAAAAGTAATTTTATCAGAAACAAGATTAAATACAATTGCAAATGTGTTACTTCAATTATTAGCTTCGTATCGTAGCTAATACTTTATTTTACCATAATATATATTTTTTTTTTTTTTTTGTGTCTTTCCATATAAATACTCAGCTCTCAAAGGGCCTATTTTTCTGATCTATATGTCAAAAAAACCCGAATTTAACATAGTTAACCTACCAATGTCAAATATTGAAAAAAACATTAATTTTAGAAAATTTTGAAAAATATTTTAAAAAATTTTATTACCGTAAAAATGACATTTTTCAATATTTTTTTCTGCGTTTTAAATCTATAAATATTCTTTTTTTTTATAAAAAAAACAACATTTTTAATCTTCATAAGAACTTCGGTTTAATGGTTATAAATTCACAACTGGGAGCGAAACCAAAAATAAAAGTTATAGTTAAAAGTCCAGCTTAATTTTTTTTATAAATAAGTTGTAATAATGTTATGATCAAGTTTAAAAGACTCAAAAGAAATAGGTTAAAGTTGTCGTAGATGTTTCAAATTTCACACAACTCTTTCATAACATATTAAAGCAAATTTTGAGAGATTACAAAAAAAAAAAAAATTGTACATTTTTAACCGTGTAGTTATTGCTTAATTACTTATTAGTATTTATTTCAGAAACTAAATGTAATTAAACAAATATGAAATCAGGTTTGGAATTAGCAGCAAAACTCCATAAAGAATTTCACAAAATATTATATGCCGCAGATTTTTTATTTTGTTGTTTATTGAATTTTGAAAACGGCGAGAAATACATATTTTTTAATTTATAAGCGAAAAAAAAATTATTACTATTGATATTATCATAAAAAGTTTGTTATTTAATTGTTTAAGTTATATTACAATTAAGTATAATCAAAATGGGCATATACTTTTTTTTTAATCAATGAGTTACGTATTATGCACAATTTCTATTATACGAGGTACTTGTTTATTTATTCATTGAAATCGTGTCATTAGGTTCGTTTATTTAAACATATATATATTTAATATTTTACTAAAAAAGAGATAATAATTTACGTGACGTTTTGTAAACAAAATAAAATATGAGTATACGTGAAAACACTCAGCTTATGTCACATGTTCGTTATTTCCGACTCCTTTCTGGCAATTTAAACGCATTTTAAATTTATGTGATTTATAATATCATATTTATGTATGACATATGATTTGTACGGCAGTCGGCCCAATTTGCAAAATCCAGAACGTTGTGTGTCGTATAGAAATGCATAACAGCGAAGCGATACCGTTTGTCACAATAGGCATTGATTAAACTGTCGGGTGAATTTTTATCATTAATAACAATGTGAACAAAGTAGTATTTACGTGGACGATGTATACATACATATTGAAGGTTCCTGGTGTGTCTGATGGAAATATTCACTTTTCATTTGCCGATTTCCCTGCGGAAAAACCAATGTAAGATCGAATGGAATATTTAATTCACATACTTTATTACTTCTGAGAATAGTTGAGAAAATACGACTAAAAGAACACATTACTTACAGTTCGTAAACGAATTCGCAAGATAAGTTTGCCTTTTTGCATTTTCCGATAATTGTTTGTATTTAAATCGTGTAATTTAAGAGTAATAGTATTAGATTGCTGGATTTGCATATTTATTCTTTGTCCACTTATTATTTCATTAGGTTATTGTTTTAACAATTGTTCGCAGAGAAAATTCATTAACACGCATTTATTTAAACGTTATAAAATTTATTATTTTTAGTATCCTAAACATTGTTAGTCCATTTTATTAATATGTTCATTGGTGTGTTATTTGAAGACTACATCATTATCTCCTTGCCTATCTACTTGGAGTCTCATATATCTTACAATGCCTTGACAGGATTTTAACACCGACTGACGACCTGATGCAACCTCATATTAACTGTGGGATATACTTAGAGTATTGATTTCAAGTATATATATATATTTAAATAAATAATAACAACATTTACTTTTATTTTGCGAAATCAAAATACTTATATTTCAAATCAATGAAACTAATGTTAATTACTCGTAACTTATGAGACATAAGTAAATAGCTTGTATTGAGTTTGAAAGGGAGCTCGGGGAGAGCTAAGGCGTCCTAAATATAAAATTAGGTCCCCTAAAAATTTAGGAATTAATTTTAATATAATATAAAATATATTTAAATCAAACGAACTAAAGAAAACAGAAGTTAATATAATGATTTTAATCGTCAAATATATATTGTTTTGTTTTTAAAACTCTTATTATGTTGTTATAAAAAATGTATTACTTTTTTCAATTTTAGATAAGTAAATAATCATGTTTTTTAATTAATTTAATTAATTACGATAAGAACACTTCGTGTGTAGCTATATGATGCTCAACATTTCTTGAATCATTAAAGATCCTTTCTAAAATTGTTTTTTTAATGATTTATTTATCTAAATTCCGTTTATTACCAAGATTACTTTTTTTCTAGCTATCTAAAATTAAAAGCATAAAAGTTGCAATATAAACGGAGATAAAACTTTCGCTTTGTTTTAAAGTAATTACTTATAAGGTAAGTGTTTTTAAAAGCAGAAAAATGCCGAGTTTTGAATACACAAATCATAAAGGTTATTTATAAACACTAACTTGTTGCTATACATTGATATGGCATTAAGGAATTTTCAAAAGTGTTTTTTTTAAATTTTTATTTTTAAATAAAATGTTATTGATCATTTTCATTTAATATACAATGTAACGTTGCTTGATAAAATTATACAAATTGATTGATTTTAAATAAAACAATCAATTTCTCTTAAAACAACAATTATGTTAAGAATTTTTTTTTTTTAGTTACATTTATTTATCAATTATTTTGTATTTTTCAGTTTGTTAAGACATCAGGCGCTGGCATGACAATATTTATCATAAGATATTTATAGTCTTTCTTCTGCCTATGTTTATACATAATTAACATTTTTGTAAATGTTAATGATTTCCGAAATACTGAACCAAAGTTGTTATTGATTAGACATTTTTTTAATTAGAGTATTTTATATTTGATGGGAATTTTTTTACAGAGAATTCATTATAAATATATAAGTTACCCTATATAATTGCACATTTGAAAATAGTTAATTTTATAGATAATTTTATAAAATAATAACCATATAATTCAAGAGACTATGAATATGTATTTGATTTTCCGGAAGTTAAAGAAAATAAATTCTCAATGATAGAAACCATGTATCGAGAAATAAGCACGTTCTTATTTCTCGATACATTGTTACTACCGCACAGGGCAATTTTATTAACCGGAAAGATGTGATCATAAAGTCAAATCCATGTTAAAAAATCACTATGCACTTCGATGTGGGTGCTCCGAATAAAAGCGTCGGCATAAATATATCCTATCGCGATGACATCAACGAAATCGAATTTTGCACAGACCATATTAAAACGGAACTGGAAAAACTTAATTTAATAATGAACAGGGACAAAAAAAAAAAAGCTTAAATAAATTGCTTTCTAAAATAGTTTTTATTATTTTTTTTTTCTGCCAATTCTTACTCTTACCACTAGAGCGTGATGAGAATTCGTATTTTTACACCGTTTAAAGTCAATATTCTCGGCACGTATCCGTCAAGGATCCGATTTTCTCCTCTCTTTCCATCTGTTTCGATATCGACACCAACCTTTTGTCATTAAAACCATGTGCTCATTTGCATACTTACGGCTAGGGGAAAACCCGGCTTATTTTTAACGCTTTCGGTCTTTTTATTCGCACCCTTATTTGTCACATGGACTTTTTACAGTATTGTACAACCGTATAACATTTAAAATTTATTAACGAGTCTGATACGATAATTTCTGTAAAATTTATTTAACGGGCAGACAGAAAAGTATGCAAATAAAATTATACAATTCGCGGGTCGTAACAAGACCACTCAACTTCATCGTTGTACTATTGACATATTCAATATGAATTATTTCAATGAATAATGAAAGTTATTTGTTTAAACTTGTCAATTATTTTTTGAAAAAAAAAAATGCTAAAATAATAGTAACTTGTAGACTGATGATAATTTATATAAATTTTTTACAAAAGTAATGATATTCCTATCTTAGTAACTTATAATACCAAGATGTATTTCAATGTATTATATTATGTATATATTAATCCAGATTGTAATGAACAAGTTTAAATATGAAACTTTTTTAAGTTATGTTTCATTGTAATTCAGTTAAACTTTTTAAATTGAAAAATTAATGTCTTGTGACATAATTAATTAGCAGAAATAAAAATACATTTTTGTATTAATGATTGTTTATAATTATTTAATTGTTTTATACATTGATAAACAATGTAATGACTTGGTCGGCATAGTTTCAGCAGACTACAGTATAAGTACAAATAGATGTTACTTTTATTTACTTGTCCGTAAACAAACCTCATGTTTACATAAAAGGGAATGAATAAAAAGTAGTCGAAATAGTAATTTCAAAGAGTGTTCACTAAAAAACCACTTTTAAAATTAATTAAATTTACGCTAAAATATATTAATTTATTGATCTCAACATGTTCACTTCAAAGGCGATAAAATTTTATTCCGATTTTATGTTGTTTATACATACCGACTTTATTTAACTGAATGTGATTACGAAACTAATTGTATTTCAGACAGCTTTAAAATACCGACCAATTCACTAATTAAACTACCCCCGATAAACATTTTTTCAATTAGTGCAAATTAAAATTATAAACATAGTTTATTTTCATTATTTTTACTACGCCAATACTAAACATGTCAAACTACGTGCTATGCAGTTTTGATTAACTTTAAAAAAATTAATCTAGATCTAAATAAGTTCTTTTATCATCTGATAATTATTCGATCTAGATTACTTTCTTCAACTTTATATTAAACGAAGTAAATTGAACTTGTTCTATTTGTGTTATATTTTATTCATTTATACTGATTCTGTACTATAATAACTTGGTAATATTTTTTTTAAGATGTTTAAGTATACATTAAATATAAAACCAATTGTTGTTGATCATATTACAATCTAACGCATTAAAGCAAATCACTTGCACCGATTATTCTGTCAGACTAATAATGATTTTTTATCATTGATAGTTATTCGTTTCACATAATTGTTTTGTATACATTTTGTTGATAATACCGATGTATAAGCTTTGATACTCTGGAAATGTCTCGAACAGATTTTTCTAGAAGATAAAAATGTTTTTAAAAATAATTTCTCCCGACAAATGCTTTGAAAATCATATAATTTTTTTTTATTTAATTTTCAGTGAAGTTACCCGGTGTATGGCCAGCCGAAGAAGCGGAGGAACCGCTTATTTTCTTCCCCAACGACAATAGCGTTAAGTCGAACGGAGGTATCGAAATACAAAGAGATGAAGTGAAGTCGTCAGACCACAAAGAAGATGGAAACTCACCTGTCAGTGGAGGTTAGCTTACTTAAAAAATAATGATAGTAACGTAAAAAAAAAAATAACAAAGTTTAACTACACATTTTTATCAATATATATTTATTAACAACGTAAATTGAGAAGCTGTTAATATTCTCGTGATTACTACTTTCAAATTATTTAACAACACATGTCCAAGCATTAACATTGTAAGCCAGTTAGAAGATGAAAATATCAGTCCATAGACCTGTAGGATGACCTTTAATGAGACTGTGTAGGTATCTATACTCCGCGTGCGTATGTGCCATTAGTTCAATTGAATTATTCAGGACATTAAGTAAAGGGATTCATGTAATAGTAAACAATGGTCAGCTAGATAGCAATTTATTTGGTAGGATGAAGTGAACATGGCTAATCTGGCGTGATCACGAAATAAATGACATAGCCAATGTGGTTGAGACACGGAAGGATGAACTGATGAACTTGTATTTTATTTCTATTGACACATTGTTCAAGGTGGATCAAACGATTTGCTATCATAAAACCTCACGTACACTCATATATATTTATAAATTTATCTCTTATCCTTTTGAAGCAAACATTGTGTTACTTATTTTATAGTATTTCAAGTATAAATCACAAAACATAATTTAAAATCTTCCGTAGAGATCGGTATATGTTGAAATATTTTCAACAAATCTTTTTTCACTTAAATTAATAAAACTAATTATTAAGCATCAAATGTTTCTAATACAGATTGAAAAATAGTATGCATACATTTTTATTATTAGTTAAAACTAAGTTACACTGCAATAAAATGTTTGCATTGTAAATGTATGAATATTCGTAAATATCTGATTTAGACAAAAATTATTTCTAGTTTTTTCAAATTATTTTTAAACCGAAAACGTTCCAAATTCAAATGTTAAAAAATCGCATAAAATATTTATAACATGCCTAAAATATATTCAAATATTGCACAATGAACTGGAAAATGTGTTCGTTGTGGTTCCATTTTGAGTTTCATCTCGAATAGCGCTATAAAAAATGTTAATGAAGAATAATAAAGTCAATGTCAAAATCAGGCGTAAAACATTCAATCAAATTCTGTTTTATCCCTTTTACAAAGTTTTGCCGTTTTTATAAAACTACTTTTTTCTTCTACTTAAAAAGATTTAAATATTAATTATTGTAATTTATCTCTAATGACAGAGAAACCTTAAATAAGTACCACAGGAGAAAAAATAATAGTTGTTTAATACAATTTGCTTCTAATCTAAATTTTTCATAATCATTTTTTTTAAATTACGATTTACGGTAAACTACTTATTCAGAAAAGGAGTAATGAAAAATATACTTGTATATGAATAAATAGTTTAAAAGTAAAAAAAACCATTTTTTACTTGGATGATTTGTAGTCAGTTTTTATTTTAGCTTCGATGTGAAGCTGAGAAAGTATTGATTTTATGATGGTGTGCATTTTTTTTTATGTTTGTTCATGAAAATTATCAGATCTCTCTTGACCTATTTTAATTACCAATACGTCCAAAGAGTTTAATTTTAATTTAATTAAATCAAAGTAAAAAATAATAATAATAACTTTTAGAAATTAAAAAAAATATCTAAAATTATGCTACCGTAAAATACCATTTTCAACATTTTTTTTATATATTTTAAATTTTAAGTAACTCTTTTTAAAACACTGATCCAAATAAAATATCAATAGAATACACCGAATAAACTATTTTCTTAATGAAACTGTATTTATACGACTAAATGAAAAAAAAATGTCCAATAAAATTGATATATAACTTTAAAATTACAAAATTTGGCTTACCACGTTATAAAAACATCATCAAAATAATTGAAGAAACGCATAAACAATTAAATATCAATTGGTTATGAATTAATTTATTACTTTTTAATAACAATAATTTATTATAAATACATATGATTTTTAAATTGTTAATTTAATTCACCTGATGTAAATTTAAAAAATTCACTGTCTTTTTTATTTTAAATAATTCGCCAAAATTGTATAAATAATATAATTACTCAAATTTAAAAAAAAATCACAATTGTATAAATTTTAAATTAATTAATACACTTTAAACAACATTATATTAAATTTCGAAATTAAATTGCTACATATATTTTATATTATAATTTAACTAAATGAATTTATTTTTGAAATTATATTAATTATAATGAACACTAATTGTTTAAAGGCTATATTAGTATTTTGTTTTGAAATAATAAAAAAAAAAAAAATGAAATAAATAAGTACACATAATTAATATAAATATAAAAATAAATAAATATAAATAACTACATGATAATAAAATAAAACAAAATCGTTTTTTTGAGTATACTGGGACATTTCAATATTAAGCTACTGAACGGCCACAATCATCTGCTCAGTTAATCAGTCATCTTTAAAACTGTCATAATTAATACAGACATTATATATTACATTATTATACAGCCATGGAAATATTAATGAGGTAGATTTGGAGGAGAGTTGCCATTGCGACGTTTGAGCTTTAAACAATTTTAGAACCCCTAGATTTTTGCTCTAGTTGCGCCACTGTAATTGATCTTTTAATAGTCCGTATCTTTTTATTTCTCTCCTTATTGATTTTTAATTAGATTNTCATGGAAATATTAATGAGGTAGATTTGAAGGAGGGTTCCCATTGCGGCGTTTGAGCTTTAAACAATTTTAGAACCCCTAGATTTTTGCTTTAGTTGCGCCACTGTAATTGATCTTTTAATAGTCCGTATCTTTTTATTTCTCTCCTTATTGATTTTTAATTAGATTCTTATTTATTAACACTGTTATGATTCCGTGTACTTTAATTAGTTAATATGCTCAAATTGATTTGATTGCAGGACCGCAGCAAACGAATAACCATAACAGTTTAGGTGTTGGAAACATCGACGGTAGTTTGAGTGGAATGAGCGGTGGTGTGATTAACAGCAGTGGAGGGGTCAGAAGACGTGTGATCGGACTGCTGGTCGGTGCCCTGACCGCTGCCACCATGTTAGCTGGTACTGCAGCGGCCTTTGTGATGGTTCGTAGGCGGCGCCTGTTATTGGGCTCCGTAGCGGGACGTCGTAGCTCTTCGTTCCATGACTGTACAGCTGACAAACCACATTTGCCACCACCAATACACCTGACGGTAAGTCCCTAACGCGACTAGGCCAATTACAGTAAGTTCGATGGTCGCGACATGAAAAAAACACACAAACACGCGTAGGTGGATACAACGCCAGTGCAAAAGTACACACTTTTAGGGTACACACGACACATTGCTGCGATACACTCAAGGGAACGTTTTCTCTTACCAACACTAAAAGCAGGTTCAATTGCTTATTTTCATTTGGATACCCAAAATCATTAACTTGAAGTCAAGTCAAGGGTTATACAATATACGTAGAATAGAATATGAATTTATCTATACTGTTCAAATCAAAGTTAAAATATAAACTTCGATCTCTTTAAACGTTCGAAATCATTAAAATTGATTTTGTTTCGTTTAAAAACTACATCAATTATGAAATGTATAATCCATATTGAATGCATAACAAATGGAGTTTCGTAAAAATATGTTTTTCGACAAGTTTACAGAAAAGTTATGTGAAAAAAATTCAAACACGAAATCATTATGGTAAACAACATTTTTTTTTTTAACTGTATACATATAGCGTAAATATATGTTATTTAAAGTTAGTTGACGCACATGGGCTTTGAATAAATCTTATCCGTTAAACTTTCAAACTATTTTCCATAATGTCGTGGAAATTTTATTACCGCCAAGTTTTTGAAAATGTGGTTCTCTAAAGACAATAAAATTCAATAACTTATAAGTCAACAATAACTTTTGACATTGGAAGGTTTCAATATTTATTTGTTGGAAAGAAAAATGCCGTTACAGTGTTTCTTTTTCAAGTACCACTTTAAATAATACTAACCATAAATCTTAAAATGTTTCAGGAACTCCCTGTGCGAGTGAACGCCAATGGACATATCTATGGACAGGTGAACTTGGATGATGATTCCGACAAAAGTACTAATAACTATCACAGACCATACAATGGCATCATTCGACAACCTTCAGTGGTTCTTAGTCCTGATTATACAGGTATGCACTAAAAATGAAAATTAATATCAAATTCAAATTGAAATCGAATTCTTTAAGCTATTAAGTTATGAATTAAATATATCTAATAACTTGCAATTGTCCCAATTGAGATTCAAGTCTTGTGAATCAACGAGAAATGTTACAGGTGTTATTATCTTATTTAATTGGTTTTATCGATTTCCCCTGGACTGTTATAAATTAATAGTTTTACAATACAAAATCGTAGTTTAAAAAAATCTAATTAGTTTCATGTTCAAAAACAACTGTAATTTCGCATCTTTTTTCCAAGGACTCTAATTTTAGTCAAACTTATTGCCGAAAAATTAGAATTCTTCTTTTTGTCGCGTGATTTTTTTTTTTTTTAAACTGTACATCAATTATTCATTTGATTTACATTTTTAATGATATACTTTAATGGTCTATTACAATTTTATTAATGTTACTATTTATTCATTGTATTGTTGTTTATTATTGTTTGTCATGTACATATTTAATATTTTTTCTCTTGTTCTAATGTTATACATGCACTGTAACATATATTTTTCTAAAGGGTTCTTCTACTTGTTAAAATAAAATATATATATACATTTGTAATGACATAAATAATACAAATACCATGTGTGAGGCTGGATAATCTCTGTACAGAAATTAAATATTAACATTTAGAGTTGCAACTAACGTTTCCCAGATGTATAATAAAATGGAAAAAATGTTTAGTTTTATACAAAGTTTTTCTAAAAAAAAGTCTTCCTCATTCCAAACTATGTACTAATATATTGCATACATTTATTATTTTCTTATGTCACTTATTCTCTACATTTTCCGTGTATATTATAATTGATTTTAGTAGGCAAGTACTTTAATAGGCTGAGCTTGACCGAGTTATTTTATTCTTTCATTAAATATGGCACATTTTTTATACACATCGCGAAGTTATCATTTAAACTTTTTTATAAGTGATGCAGTGCTGTATCATCTATAATTTTATCTTTTTTTCTTACCCTCTCGCCATTGTATCAAAAATTAGAATTTTTTAGGATCTGTGAAAGGCTTAACATGCGACCCCCTATCCCGTAAATGTATTTTTAATATGATGAAATGTTCATGCTGTTCATGGCAAATTAACTAAAATAGAAGTGCATATAAAATAACAACGATATACGACCGTGAAATTTCGACTTCAATTTCATATCAAATTAGATGACGTAGACGTTGAAATAATTGCAAAGAAATTACTACAGCTCGTTGAATACTAACTTAAAGTTATGGCAGAAAAAATAAACTATTATAAGTTTTGTTAAAAAATCTACGAAATAGAATAACCGCGATAAATAGTTCATTAAAAATTACTAATCTGCTAATCATAAAATATGGTGTTTATCAACAATAATATAAAGTGTATAAAAGTTGAAGAATTTCCACAAATTTCATTATAAATTTAAATCAGATAAAGACGATGGGCAAATTATTAAGAGCGTGCTAAACATTTTTATAGTTGCAGTTTTTAAGTATGAAGGGAAGTCTTTTTAATACTTGAACTTCTAACCAAATATAGATTTAATTTATGCTACTTAATGTGTATCTCAAGAAACTTTTAATGATTTTAAAATTATGACAAAAAATATAATCGTTGATATTTTCTATAAAAATATGATTGTATTATAATAATAATTTTGACATCTCATCAATAATTTGAGATAATCTTCAATAGAAAATAAAAACTCGTAGATTCTGTCAAATTATGTAGCAAGATTTGACTTATTTTATGTTCTTATTCCAAAAAAACAACATCAAAAGTTTTTTTTTATTATTATTTTCATAATATTGTCATTGATAAAGGTTAAATTTTAATTTTTAAATCTTCACTGTTGTATTTTCAAGTTTTGCTTGCTTATTATGCAAGTATTATTTTAAACTACTGCAAGAAAGTACAATAAAAAATAATTCAAATAATATATTTAATTACAAAATCATAATTTATCATCATTTATGACAACATTTTTTGTAAATTATTGGTATATTATTTTTAGCTAAAAATATCGTCCCAACAGCGAATATAAAAATAATTTATGAATTTCTCACAAGGCAAAAATTAAAACACAGTCAGGTGAATTTTATCGTTTAGTAAAAACAACATCACTTATATTTTAATTTATAAAATCTTAACAATGAAATATAAAAAACGAGAATAATACATGTTTTGCTGTTTTCGATACTGTGTATAAAATACCTAATAGTTATGTAAAATACGTATGCGTACATTATTTTTTCATGAAATTGCATAAATAACTAATTACTTAATAAAATTATTACAAATGAAATGGCTTGTTTTGTTAGATGTACGGGATATTGTGGAACAAGAAGAATACGCAATTCCTCATGTTCATCAAACATCGTCAAAAACTTTAAGACAACATCGCAGTCAGACTTCCATTCACGAAATGGCGCCTCGTCATACTTTAGAAAAGTATTACGCTGCATCAGACATATGCCAGGTATGTTTAATATATATTTTTTAAATTTAACCTGTAAATTTTAGTACCATAATTATAATTTGTTTTTACAGTAAAATATTTTATGTGTTTTACTAAGATTCGTAAAAATGTTTCTGTCGATAAATCATTTCCAGTAAATATTATTTGTGTAAGAAAAATAGATTTTATTATAATAATGTTTAGCAGTCGGTGATTTGTGTGTCCGTTTTCTTAGAAAAATGACGAGTTCTTTAAAATATTAACTAGTATTACTTGTGTTGAGTTGTATGGAAAAAAGAACATAAGTTCATTAAATGAATACGGTGGAGACCAAACAAATTTTATGACTAATAGGTGTATATTTTTTACTGACGTAAATTCTCAGAATCTAAGTAAAATAATTCAAAGAGATCGACAAACATTTATGTGTAAATGAAAATGTTCGCATTTAAAAAGAATTCGATGAAACTGTGTTAAAAAATAAGGTAACCTTGCACAACTCTCAAACCATTCTAAAGGCCGTCGACCAAACGTTAAATTTTAAATACAATCAAGTAACTCCGCGTTCGTTCTTGTTTCGCAGAATTTTCAATAAGAGATTTTTCCTCTCGAGTTGGATTTTAAGTAGGTTGACGACATTACTTAGAAAAACACAAAGACGAAACGGTTACATCGTTATCGTGAACGGTAGCAGAAAATTCACCTACAGCTTCACCAGAACTCATTAATTAACCAATTATATAATTAAAGTCGCTCTGTTGTGTTATATTATTATACTGCACAGCGTTCAAACACCCGTTTTTGGTATACATATTTCATGGGAATGAATAAAATCCAACCGCTTGCGATAACATTGCGGTGTCAAGTATCTACGCTCAGATACCTAAGCAAACCCTTTAATTGGTCGGATGGAAAAATTATCTCCCCTTTTGTGTTTTATTATTACTTTTACCTAATCTCTACCGGGTTTTTGTTTATTTATTTCCTCTTTTTCTTAACTAAGAAAGATACCGGTGTACTTAAAATAAATAGAATAATATGAATCATGCATATATTCCATAGCTTCTTTGCGTTAGCTTGTCTTAGTTTTTAAATTTTATCAAAAAATAATGCCAACTTAATAACTTACTTCCCCGAGTAGCAAATCAAGTGCAGTCACAGTGTCAATATTGTTTAAAAGCCAGTTAAAACACGGTGCAAGATCGTTTGTGCAAGTGTACAGTTTTTTTCCGATTATGAAATGGTTATTATTACATGTATGAAAACTTGCATCCAGAGTGTGATTGACAGTGTAATAACAGTTTTACTAAGGTCCATAGACATTGAAATGACTGTGGCACGACGGTTAATGTTTGGTTGGGTTTGGTGTAACAAACTTGTCTCAAAACAGATCATATGCAGTGTACTATTATTTAATTAGTTATTTCACCAAGTATTGAAGCCCTAAACCCTCTTATTTTTGTTTCTATTGTCTACCTTTCAAAAAAACTAGTTACGCCAATGAATGAATTAGATATTTTTTACTTACATAGGTTCCTCCCCTACGAAAAAATCATGTATTCCATTGACCATACAAACCCTAAAATTAACTATGCTACAAGCAATTTGTAAAAATATAATAAAAATAAATAAAAAAATAATTAATATCTTAATATATGAATTAAATATTAATAATTAATATTAACTTTAATAACTTGAAAAATTAACTTTTTGTATTCAAATGATTGATATTGAGAATAAATGTACATCCTTCAAAATTCTTGAGTATTTTAGTCTAAATTGCATGATTTAGATTCATTAAAAATTTTATTAGGGTGATTAGGATTTAAAAAATATTCCCATGGTTTTCAGGGACGTATTCTGCACAAGTATATAAACTGCGAGTTCTAATCAGAGCTGTAGATATATTTTGCTTAAAGTTATATTTTTTGGCATCGTATCACAGACAATTGATCATTTTCCGTGATTAATTGTTTCTAAAAGTAATTGTAATAATTTTTGGTCTAAAAACCTCGTGAAATAAAACAGTTGGGTTTACGAACTCACTTATTGCAGTGTTCAGGGTTCGAAAAACTGACATTGAACTGCATTAAAATGCTTCGTTTTTTTTATATCAAAACACTTCCGAGGAATCATCGAAAGTTATTTAAACATTTGTAGAACAGCTTTAAACACAGCGCTTTCAAACTGACTTTGAACGAAAAAAATGTTACCCGGGTAAAATTTATTTTTTGCAATTATTTTCTGACAAAAATAAAAATTTTTCCTTTTTTTAAATGAGGCGCTTGCTACAAAATAAAATTGAATTTTTATTATTTGAAAAATAAAAAAGTAGTATAAGTGTAGACTGTATTTTCTTTATGTAGTTTTTGAATGTAGAAACCTATATTTCAATTGTGGGAATTGATTATTTTGATATGCGTACACACTATATAATTAAAATACTGCACAGCTCAAACATACTCATGGTGAAATTAAACCACCAAAGTTGAAGTTTGTGTCAATTTAACGTTATTGATCGTTTGTTATTTATTTAATTTTCTACCTTTTATAACGCTACATCTGAATAACTGAAATGGCAAATATTTATTTTAACCATTGAATAGTTCAAATTCATAATGTCTATCTATATTCATAGAAATTGTATTAGCTTATCAAATCAGTCTATTGTAAAATAAAATGGTATTTTTACCGAGTTATTCATTCTATAAACTGTTATTTAGTGACACACAATAAACTGTATTAATTTATAAACTATCAAAAATATTTTTAACTCAAAACTTGTACATATTTATACAACTTTTTTTACTGAAAATTTAAATATGTTGTATATTTTTATTTTTCTCATTTACTCTTAATATGTTTTTTTAAGATAAATGTTCCTCCACCTCCACGATCGCCTCCTCCAACGTCTTCCAGGTCAAGCAGCAGCAGAGGAGGCGGAGCTAGTAACGCATCGACTTGTCCTTTAACAAGATCTGACGATACTTTGTGCCAATTACCCCCAGAATTCCCAAGAGAGCAACTGAATGTTGTCCAGACATTGACAAAAACTCATTTTGGAGAAGTAAGTTACGTGTAAACTACTAAATAAAATGAATTGAGACGAGGTTTTATGATTTTATTATAGATTCATCTCTGTGAAGTAAAATCTTTCCCCGACGACATACTTCAAACGACGTCGGTGAAATGTAAGCTCGTTACTGTAAAATCCTTAAGAAAAGGAATATCAGAGACTATCAAGTAATGAATATATAAAACATATTTTTTTTAAAACCATTCGAATCGTTAAAATATTTATTTCAATAAATTTATTGAAGAATATAAAGTTTATTGTTTTTATTATATTTGAATATTTTTTATGTTTTTGTAAACTGGCTATTAACTTTAAAGTTTAAAAAAAACATCGACATTATTAATGATAATAATACTAACCGAATTGTTGAAATCTATCGAAATTAGTTAAACTTTTAATTGATGATTAAAAACTCAACTTAACTTTTAAAAATATTATATTAAAACTTAAAAATCTCCGATGTATTAATGTTTTTAAATCTTTGATTCCCATTCTTATAATATTATTAGTCAGTCGGGTTACCGTAAAAAAAGATTTTTAACACTTTGAATATAACTTGTATTATAATAGAAGTGCATAGTATAGGATTTATAACTCGTATAAGTATTTTCAACTAAAATTAATTGGAAATAAAATTACTTGTAAATTCGCACTCAAATATTAGAGTCACTTTTCTCTCTACCATTATTATACTAAAAGATTATTTTTTATTGTTTACTTAAAAATAATTACTGAAATGATATCATATTTTATTTTAATTTATTTTTTAATAAAAAAAATTGATCCGTATCAACATGTCCCGATTTCCCTTGTGGTTTTTGTAGGGACTATTGAATCTTAGAAATTGAAATATTTACTCAATTTAAAAAATATTGTTATCTTCAAATGTTATTAAAAAAGAATTTCCTAAAAGTTAGTGATAAACCGATAGACAGCTAATGAAAAATACAATTTTTTTTATCTTATTAATAGCACTAAAAATAAAAGCATAAATTTTTGTTAAGAATTTGTTTATGTTTTCTATTTAAAAAATACGTTTTTTTACAAACATTGAAGAATATTAAAAATTGGTATTTTAATGTTTTACAGACATGATTTTTATGACGAAGTGGAATCTTTATGGAAAATACGAGACCCTAACATTACGAGAGTGTTAGGATGTTGTTTATCAGAAGAGCCATTTTGCATAATTACTGAATTTATGCCACACGGTGATCTTAATCAGTTCCTTCAAGAACATGTCGCTCTGACTGCTGCACCATTATCTCCTTATGCAAAGACATTAAGGTTTGTCGAATGCAAATTTATAAATACTTATCAACATTTCTATATTTAAATAGTACAATAATTAACTGATAATTATTTCGTAGTTATGGATGCTTGATGCATATGGCTACGCAAATAGCATCTGGTATGAAGTTCTTAGAAGCTATCAATTTCGTTCATCGAGATTTGTCAGCCAGGTAAATTGACGTTAAACAGTCTAAATGATAAAATTATGAAATGAAAGACTTATTATCCCAAGTTAATTAACCTAATGCGCACTATACCTTCCTTGGAAAACAGATCAATCACTTGTCCCGAAGTATATAACATTAAAAAAAATCGATTCTATGAAAAAATATAAATTCGGATAGTATTTTTTTTTTTTTTTTTAAATAAAGAATTATTAATCTTGAAAATCACATGCTAAATATTTCAGAAATAATTAAAAGATATTTACAATTTAATTTATAGAAACTGTTTGGTTGGACCAAATTATACTATCAAAGTGTCTAACATGAGTCTAAGCAAAACTATTTATTCTGCTGATTATTTTGAATTCGAAGGTAGACCATACTTGCCAATCCGATGGATGTCTTGGGAGAGTATATTATTGGTATAAGGCCATTATTTTTTTAACTAATAAACAATATTTATTGTTACAATTAATGAGCAACATGACATTTTTTTTTCTTTTTAACATTTAGAATAAATACACACCTAGAAGTGACGTTTGGTCATACGCTGTAACATTGTGGGAAATATTGACTTTTGCTAGAGAACAGCCATATGAGGATTTAAGTGATCAACATGTTATCAATAACGTGACAAGGTTATATCAAAATGACGGAAACTTCGTAAGTCAATGCATATTGTCTTACAAAAAAATCAAACTTCATGTTTGAACTACAATAATGAATTAAAATCATAATTGGAAACTCAAAAAAGTCTTCCGCCTTTTACATCAAAACTGTTCACATTTCATGACAATCTGTACGCACTGAATAAATTAATTTTTTCCATACTAATTTTGTTTTCATAAAGGAATAAGAAGAATAACGTTTCGAATAGACAATTCAAGTATTTTTTTTTCCTATACGCATCTTGTCCTTAAACTTCATTAAGGTATCGTTTGATTAATCTAGCTTTCAGTTTAACCACAATTTATTCTTTTGTACATCCGTTGCATCGTTTTTAATATCCGCTTTTTCAGCCTTTTCAGTTAAACGAATGTTTTCTTTTATAATTACTTATATTGTTACATCTTCAAACATTTTTTCAATACTTTTAATTAAATATCTATTTAAATAAAAAACAATACGTTTTCATTTTGTAATTTCTACTAAACAAACTATAACTGTGGTTAAAAAATAAAAAAATGTATGTGGCTTTTTCCATAGACTGATTTATAAATTCTAGATATTTTTTAAAAACAGTAATAAAATACAAAATCTCAGCAGTGTCTTATGTAAATTGCTAATTTTGCAATATTTTGTTGTATAATACGATCTACGCATTTTCTCAACACATTTTATTAGTATAATTAAATAATATTATAAAATAATGCGAATATATAAAGAATGTCTTTTTTTTTTTACTGTTTCAGATCTTCTTACCTCAGCCAATTAACTGTCCTAAAGAAATGTATGATTTAATGTGCGAATGTTGGCAGAGAGATGATAAAAGTAGACCTAATTTCCGAGAAATTCATTTGTTCCTGCAGCGAAAAAATTTAGGCTACAAACCTGAATGTGACTCTTAATAACTTTACTTCATATAAACTGCCATAATTATAATTAATTTACTTATAAAACTCTGCGTCGTATTCTTCGATAAATATATTTTTACACAAAAAATTTATATTATTTGTATAAAATACATATTATTATTTTAATATATTGTTACTCTTCGTGTTGTAAATATCTTATATTAAAACTGTTTGATTATTTTTTATTTATTTAATTTTATTGTCATTTTAAAATATTGCTTTAAGCATATTGCTAGGCGTTATAGTGAGATTTTGATAAAATTTGTCATAGAAAGTATATAAATTTGATATTTATATATATATATATATATATATCTTATAGTCCAAAAACTAATTACATACATATTTTATCTTATGATAATAATCGACACATTTATTTAAACATTTATTAATTTTTGGTTTTCAAAGATTTTCCCTTGGAGTAATCTCGAAAAATAAAATAAAATTTATTTTTTATAAAATACTTTTATTTAAATAAATAGTTTAATTACAATTATATTAATAATAATTATGAGTTGTTTTAGCGGGATTCTATTTTTAATTTTTAGAATTTTTTAATATTTCTTAAATAAATTTCAATAATACATCTCTAAAATTTAGAAATATATCAACAAATGTAAGTGTTATGCTTTTGATGTTAAAAAATATTTATACAAACCATTATTTCGGGTATTAAGAAAAAATGTAGTGCATTGGTGCTATTATAATATATATATATCGTTCTTTGCAAATTTCAAATAAAGACATTTACTATGGTATGTTATATTGATTTTAAGCATAACATTTATGCCTTTACAAAAAGGTTAGGTATTCTTAAACCACTAATAAATTTAAATCTTTAGTTATTACATTTATAAGTTAATATTAGTAAATTATGCCAAATTAATTTAAATTAACTAATTATCCGCTGGACTAGCACATTATTTATATAGACATCAATCTTCGAATTCTGTTTGAAAAATTAATATTATTTCATTATTGTTTTGAATTAATTTTATTCTTAAAATGGTTTACAGTAAAAATAAATAATAAAATTATTAAAACACATAACGCAACTAAATTAATTATGTGGGCATGGTTGTTATTCAAATTATTGATACAGTTCTTTAACAATTGATTTTTTTTTTAAGATTGTAACATTTATTTTGTAGAAGTATAGCTCTTTATGATACCTCTTATCTTAAAATTGAGAGATATTAAAGAATTAAAAAAAAAAAAAACAAAAACAATGTTACATTGGGTTTAATAATTGATATTTAAGAAAATATATTGTATTTGAGAATAAAAATTTATCACATTTATATCATTAATAAATTTCATTTCTCAATTAACATTTTTAAGTATAAATGAAGGCTTTAAAATATTTTTAAAACTGTTTAGCATGTTCTAAAAACTATTAATAACGTCACAAAATCAATTCACTGTAAAACTAAGACTATAAATAATAGTTTTTGTTATTTTTTTCAAGTTTTAATTAACAATAAAATTTAACAAAACAAAACACGACAAAAAGTTTAAATCTGAGCTCCTTGCTTACAATAATGACATTAATTATAAAATAAAATTGTATAATAAGTAATTTGTAATTTTAATTGTAAAAAATAATCATATTTTTAGTTAAATGAATAGTTTTGAATTCAGGGTTCAATATGTAAGTTGTACTTATTGTAATAAATTCATATAAAGCATTAAATGTTAACTTTTAAAAGTTGAAACACAATTTTATGAAGTATTGGAAAATTGTAATTTATAGTACCAAATGTTTACAGATTGTCATAAAATAAACATTTGTTGTGCACTAATGTAAGTGCATTAGGCTTGTAAAGGATGAAATGCCATTTTTTCAATACTGGTCTTTTATTTAAAAATCTAATTTAAAAAAAGGATTTAATCACAAAACCAGTAAAACAAAAATTAATCGTGATTTATTGTGTAATAACTCTTATTTACTATGTTGCATACAAACATGTAAATACTTGAATTTAACATTTATAAGCATTTTAAAGATTTAATTGAAATAATATGTGTATAAAACGTACTGCTAACTTAAATTTTGTACTAAGTTTGTCAGTTTTCTGTGTATTCCTTTAATTTTTACATTTGATACAATTGAAGAGATTTTTTTATGTTTAAAGATGTTTTATGTTGAATTTTTAAAATAAAATAAAATATTCACATCATTGTGAAGCATTATTTATAAAGTGTAATTTTAATCGAAAAAATGTAATATTAAGTATTTATTTTTATACATATTAATATGTAAAAAAACAGTGTCATTTATTTTATAGTCAATAATACTAACGAAAGAAAGTGTCATACCATATACTTTAAATATAAGATCAAGATGAATCATGAAAACAAATAAACTCTATACTATTGATTTTTATGAAAAAATGAGGCATATTCTTAATAAGTCACAGTGTAAACAAAACGATTCGTTTACCATAACCCACTCGATCCCTTAAAAAATAAAAAAACTCGCGGTAATATATTTTTCAGCTTTTTAGTTATATATATATATATTTTTAATTACCAATTATTAAATGGTTTTTTCTTTCATATCACAAAAAGGTGTCAACATGGTTTATTTTTAATGGCGACATGCGTACTTAAATAGCTTATACAATAGAAAATTATTTAATTTTAATCGTATGATAGAACTTTTTGTAACAAAGAGAATGTCTTCTCGTGAGTGCGCGCGAAAGAACTTCCATGGTGACATTTTAAACAAGAGTGTCTTTACATTATTTACTTCCTCATGAGTGCGTACGTGATCATTATTTTCAATTAAATATGTACAAAAATACTACTTAAGCGAATATTTTTTTACATAATAACACAAGTCTGGCACGATAATGAGTAATGTGCGTGAGACATTTCTCTGCTACCGATGTCAGATGTTGATTGACGCCAAGTCCACGGTGGGTAGGATGACGTGGTGACCCGCGTCTTATCGCTAATCCTCGATTTGTCAGCGACGATGCGTCAAGGTTCGCTATTGTCTCTACCGTGACTGATCTCAACAGACCCTTTGCGTATCACTTGGACGTGGGTAATGCGGGACGAGATTCCCCTGATGGTTACTTACAAAAGCACCGTTTTATTTGTCACATACACATATGCGGGCGAGGGACCCACTTGGGACATAACGCAACACTCGTATATGGGCGATAAGACCACAACTCGCACAAGTGGGTCAAGGGGGTCGCTAGGATGACTGTTGTCCCGGCGATGGTCGATAACGTTTTCGACTGTAGCGGTAACCTCGAATTCACAACGGCAGTGTAGACGGACGCTAACGGTGATGGTGGCTGCTGAGAGTGACGGCAATGGCGTTGGCGTTAACTGTAATGGACGACAATCGGCACAAGCGGTGATGACCAGTGAACCAAGACTGCGGCGACGTTGGTGGCTCGAACAAATGACGGCAGCGGTATTGAACGATGGTCGGCAACTGGACAGTGGCTGCTCAAGTCTTCTGTTTGTGCATTAATAATATTATGCTCTCTCGTGTCTGCTTCAATGTGGTGGAATGAATTCTATTCTATTTCTGTTTCTTTCCGTGTTTAGTCGGTGTCGACCGAACAGAGAACTCGGCGGCCACATTATAGTCCGTTACACTGAACATCACAAGTGTGAAATTCGTTCGGTACTTAATTTTACTTTTATGAAGTGTCCAACCTCAATCGTAATTCACAGACACTGGGATTCGTGTATGGCAAAGGCGTGAAGTTAATGTGGGCCTATGAATTATAAGAAGATAACAGAAGAGTGGGTGTTCATAATGATCAAAAAAGTGGGGGGCATTCACTTTGACTGGCCAAAGGATTACGAAAGTTGACATTATTTTTAGTGACGCTTAACTTGATACGATCATTAGGAAAGTGTAATGAAAATCATGTGAAAAAAAAGCATAGAACGGATTTGATACCGCGACCTAAGGCAAAACAAACTTACTGCTAACAAGTCGGTAATGCAACGAAAGAATATTATAGAGAGAATTTGTTCAATAACGGCAACATTTTTGGAAATACTTTCCTGTAAATTATTACCAGATATTACTTAAAAAAACCCAGCACAGTGGGATTGCGGCACAGTGGTGACGTAGCATAGTTTGATCAAGTGTAATGATATCTGACAGTGATTAAAATCACTATAAATAAAAACGCTTCGATGCAAATCTTTAGATAGTGTTTAATTTTAAAAAATTTGGTGCATTATTCCAAAAGCTACATGATCTGCTAGTTCCTTATTAATATCCTAATTAAGATAAAGTATGTCGAATGAAAAAGGGATTATTAAAAATTATTATTTCTCATAAAAAAATTGTGTTGATTCATACACTTTTCAATAAGTTATAGCATTATAAAGTTAAAAATGTAAAATACAAAATCGAGAATTTTCACACAAAAATAGCATTTGGTAGCCAATTTCACCGTGAAGACCAAATAAAGTCCGAAATTTTTTTTCCCCATAATAAAGTATATTATATTAGCTTTACTTTAAGATATATATAAAAGTGTCAGTATTTTCGGAACACTTTCAAAAGCTAAGTTGAAAAAGTACATTTTTGTAAAAAAGTTGTCATATATGCAGATTTATAAAAAAATATACCAAATGATAGTTAAAGACATCATACATCCATAAAAAAAATAATTATATTGATCCATACNTATAAAGTATATTATATTAGCTTTACTTTAAGATATATATAAAAGTGTCAGTATTTTCGGAACACTTTCAAAAGCTAAGTCGAAAAAGTACATTTTTGTAAAAAAGTTGTCATATTGAATCCCCTCCTGTATGCAGATTTATAAAAAAATATACCAAATGATAGTTAAAGACATCATACATCCATAAAAAAAATAATTATATTGATCCATACATCTTTCAAAAAATTATAGCATTATAACCAGTTATTTATTTGTTTAACATTATTATTTTCTATAAGCTTTTATAAAATTGTTCTATTTTGTATTAACAGTACGTAATTAACATGTGCTACCATAGTTTCGAATGTTTTTAATTCAATACAAATACTTTCATTACTTTTAAGTCTACTTTAAAGTGTATTTATATGATAGATTTGAAACTGAATACCATAAATCTTAAAAGAGATAAAAAATACAATGAGCTTAAAAAGAAGTAACAGTAATTCTGACATAACTGGTAATGCAACATTACAGTGCTTGGCTAGTGGCATTAACTATCCTATTGGAGAGACAGGTAGATTTTTTCTTTAGGAAATATACTCAATTTAAGTGTTCAGATGAACTTTTTAAAAATACATATATTTTTATATGAAAATAATATCTATATTAATTTTAGGCCATCTTAACTTTGTTTTATATTTTACAATATACTTTATTTTTCTTTAAAATGGTTAAATTGATATATTATAACTCTTCAGTTTGTTATTGGACGTTCTCTTGCCTGTTCACTTGTAATTGAAGAAAAATCTATAGCACGACGACATTGTTTTATAAATAAATCCAATGGCCAATATTTTATTTCTCACAATGTAAGGCTTAAAATTGTTATTGAATATTTATATTAATTTAGCTATCAAAGAGAATAATTAATTCTAAGTTGATCAACAATATCTGTACCACAGGGAACAGGTAATGAAACTTATGTAAATTGTGTGCAAATTCCTAATAACCAAAATGATTATCAAGTTTTAAATCATGGAGATGTTATTTCCTTTGCAGATGGGAGTGGAAGTTATAAATATCTGTACAGATTTGTTTTACAAACAAATACAGATAAAAAATTGAAGTAAGATTATTCTTAAGACATCGTGTGTGTAAGTGATTTGTAGAATATGGATAAACAATACACTAATATAATCAAATCTATTATTCATTTTATTAAACGCCATCAAATAAATTGATTAATATAAACACTATATCTAAATCAAAATTATCTGAAAAATATTATTTGAATTCATTCTTTTAATATATGTCAGTTATTTTCATTATAAACTTTCTAATCGCTTAATATGATAATTACAAAGAGTATGAACAATATTTGTTTATAAAACTTTAAGTATAGATTTTACATTTAATATTGTTAAAAACTGAAAAAAATTATTCTTTTTTAAATTTTAACTTTTAAACTATGTGACACGACTTACGCAGCAAAAACATGATAACATATTCATATGTCATTTGCTTATACGACACATCTCTAATCCGAATCGCGAATCGAGAACCGCAAAAGAATCAAAACTATACTGAATGTTCGATTCAATAGACTCAAAATATCTTTTAAATCGCAAACGGGTCTTCTAGTTGACCTGATTCGAATGAATCGGATTACTTAGGTGAACCATAATTCCCATCTCTATCTGCACCATTTGCGGCGGGTCGTCGTCATTTGTTGGACTTTGCGCCATAGCGTATAACACGCGGTGTTGGTCAGTCAAATACTCATAGTATGGCGACGGCTGATAAATGTGGCACGAGTCGCGGGGCATCGTGTGTAACGAAGCGACGCGGGCCGTATCAAATATGCTCACAAAAAATATTTAAAAAAACTTGCATTCATGGTAAAATGCTTTTTTGCAAAATTCAGAATTATGCTTAAAATATTTCATTCATATATACCATATTCTTTTAAAATTACTCTGCTATTTGTGTTTAATTTTTATAAAGTTAGATGTTTAAATTAATTGCATTTATTTTTCAGACGAAATAATGAAGTATATGGTGAAGAATATGAATCTAGTAAAAGTCAATCTTATGTTGACAATATTGTAAGTTTTAATTCTGTGGATGATCTTTTTTTTTACAATTCATTTCTTTAAATGAATACAAAAATTATATATTTATTTTTAATTTTTACTTATGATACGACCCTATTTGGGTACATATCTCATATGCCTGTTAACAGTAACCCAACATTTTAATTAGTACATATCCCATTAGAAAAAACTTATTTAAGTATAATGGAATCAAATAATAATGTTTATTAATAATAAAATAAAATAAAATAATAATCTATGGATTCAAGATATGTTGAAAATGTCCATCAGAGAGATGACAATGTGCTATAAACATCATGAGAATTATAATTTTTTAAATCACAATTAAATAATAATAATAAGTTCAAATAATATTAATTAGATGTTAAACATTCATATGGTAGGTCTCAACTGCTTGTTGCACTACATTTTCACATACAGTTTTCTGTAAGAATGTGTAAAATTGTCAGCGGGTTCCTGTAATCTATCTGTAATAAGCATGAATGCTGACCAAGCTGTTAAATGTTGTTAACTGAACCAAGATTTGTGCACAAAATGTGACCGTATCACTTATTTAAATCCAATTTTTTAATTATTAGTTGACTTATTTTAGCTGAAAAGTGAAAAAGCATTAATGAAGCGTTTTCTAATAGCTAAATTAGATAATTTTAATGAAATAATTAATCAAGAATCAAAAAAAGTTAAAAAATTGAAAAAAAACAGTTCTAAAAGTAAATATATTTTAAGTAAAAATAACTTAACCTCTGGTTAATACATATTATATTATTTTCACACAATAAGAATTTTTTTTATTAACATTTACTATAATTAAAAAAATATATATAGAATGTATTAGTTTTTAAATTAGTTCTAAAATCATGTTTTATTAACCTATATTTTTGTATTAAATCATATTAAAAAAATTTTTGTCCGTAGCATAAACTCACCAATAATGAATTAACAAAAAAGAATTTAGATTACCAAAATACTTTAAAAATTCAACAAGGTGATTATATAAGTATATATATTTTATTAACTTACTTTATTTAATTTTACACTTGTTTAAGCAAAGTCACATGATATTCTTAGTATATAACATGAAATATACTGTGTCTTAATCTGGAATTATTTATATGTATAAAATATATAAGTGAATAACCTATGAACTCCATTTATTTATTTTTTGGATGGAGTTCACATAATGGGGTATAAATGAATTTTGGGCTTATTTATTACTATTGTATTAAATTGAACATTAGAAACATTGGTAACAATATCATGTCCATACATTTTTGTTTATAAAACATTACATTTTTTTATATTATAACAATTATAATTCAAATCTCTAAGAAAAATATAATTTATAATGCATTGTCATGTGTGGTCTTAATTGGTTCTTATAAATATTTTAGAAACATCTTCATCACGTATTAAAAATAAATAAATCTTATTCCTTTTATTAAATATTTTGATGAGAAAAAATATTAATTAAAAAATAAAACAACTATGGATTTAAGAAATTTTTGAAATAATTAATATATCTTATTTTTCCTAAACTTTCAATTGTATTAAGGCTAATGTTAAATTAGATTAAAAAGAGGTATTTATCAAATTATTATCATTTTTAATTCTATTTTCTAGATAAAATTTTTAAGTTAAACTTTGTTAAGTCATTTAATAGCTTCAACATACTTTAATTATTATCTTTTTTTTTTTGAGAAGTTAATTTTTTTGTTTGAATTTTTTTTCTAGATCAAATATCAAAGATTGAAGAAACAATCAACGAAAAAGTTTATAGTGTTCTAGAAAGTGATTTTCAATGTTCAATTTGTAATGAATTAATGGTTAAGGTATTATTTTTACATTTAAATCCATTAATAGTGGAAATATAACACGTCATCATGTTAAAAGTTTTTTATCCAAAATTTAAATAAGTTTTTTAAATTTTGTTTTTGATAAATTTGCTTCTAAGAGACTAAAAAAAAATCACATACTTCATAATTATACCAACAAAATTATTTTATTTTAGAATTTGAGTTTGAAGTTTAAATAAAACATATTTTATCTCAAAATGTTAGTTCAAGAAAACTTGAATTTTACGCATCCATAAATTAGATTGAAAAAATGATTTTAAATATCTCATTATCATTGGGAAATAAATATAATTTAGTCATAAATTGTGAAAATGAATATTTTATATAAAATTTAATATGAAAATTTGTTTTTTTTTTTTTAGGCGTGTACAATTAATTGCAGCCATACATTTTGTGAAATTTGTTTAAATACTTGGTTTAAAAATAGTCAAGTGTGTCCTCTTTGTCGAACTTTAGTTCAAACCAAAGCTCTTTGTCTATCTCTGGATAACTTTATTACTAATATTTGTAATCTTCTTGGGAATGCAATAAAAGAACATCGGGAAAAAGTACAACAAGAAAGTAAGTATATTTGAACATTTATTAACTTATATTTATTGTTATAACTATTTTTAGAATTGACAGTTAATGTCCCACGAGTAGAGTATACATCACAAACTGCTAGAAGAGGTGGTAGAAGAAGAGGTACAACTCAACGTCGAAATACACAACCTGCACAATAAGAAATATGTTCAATAAGAAATAGTGCAAAGAATTCATGAAGTTATGTTTTGATAAATACCTGAATTTTTGACTAATGTAATACATTTTAAACTTTCCAAAAGAAAAATTAATTTTTACTCTTTCATATTTTTAGAAAAATGAACAAAATATAATTAAATAATTATAATTATTCATATGAATTTTGTAAATAATTTTAGTTTGTTTTTGTACAACTTAGTTTAATAAATTCATACTACATATGTAATATTTAAACTTTGAATTTAAATTTGTTAAATTTTATATAAAATTAAAATAATTTACCTTATTGTTAAAAATAAAATATTTTCTATACATTATCTCACCTATTGTATTTTAAATTGTAATTAATTGATACCAAGCAAAATGATAGGTACTTTTTTAACAACTATGAGCACAATCACATATTATTTAATGTTTTTAATACAAATATAAATAAGCATAAGTATTGTAATTATATTTTACATGAACTCTATTAAATAATAAAATAAAACCTTGGGAGCTAGAGCTATTGGTTGGTACATAAGGATTTTGTTCGCCACCGGGTTCCTACTAAAGCAGTTAGCCCATATGACTAATAATAAAAAATAACTATAAATTTCATTGATAGATTTCTAACCATAAAAAAAAGAAAGATTACCATTCATCTAATTAATATGTTTTTTTCTGTATGATATGATTTTCAAATGTATAAATTCATATTTATATTCAATCGGACGTCCGCAAAATACAAATGTAATGACATTAAACAATAAAATAATTTTACATACAATGAGAAGATATACTCCAAGTCAATCCACGGATTCAACGATTCGACGCACAGTTGGGCAATGAGGTTCAAAAGTTGGCATTACATCATGGAGCAAAAAAATATATTCCTAAAATTAATATTATTTTTATTTTTGTCCATCAGATATATAAAAAGTCATTTACATAATATTAACAAAGGTATTTACTATATACTAAAATCCTAGCCCCTCATTATAGCTTCACCTGGAACAGATTTTACGTTTTTTCTGTTTTAAAATTCCGATTTTTTTTTACTGCAGTCTCCATACAATCTCATATCCGCTATGTTGTATTTCATTCTGCTAATATATAATTTTGTCAAGAAGTTCCATAAATTCTTGAAATTACATGAATTTGATTATAGGAATGATTCTTAGGAAGGCGTACTTTTAATATAACTATTCGAATAATTTTTATACAACCGAATAGTTTATTTTTAGCATAAACTATCAAATAGTTTTAAAAACTATTCGAATATATTGTGTAACTATCGAATATTTTTTGAATGACTATCGAATAGTTCGATAGTTTTTATTCAATATTTCGACATTTTCAAAAATTAAGTTGAAAAAGTTAGTTTTTGTAAAAAGTTATTGAAGTTTTAATAAAAAAATGACGAAATTTACCAATTTTTAAATTTGTAATTTTTTTGGATATTTCTCCAATTTTCGGAGAACGAAGGAATTTTTTCAATTTTTAAGGATAATGTCTTCAACTAGATATGATTTATGATCTTTTGACGTATTGTTGAAAGAAATCGGTCCAGTGAGAGCTGAGAAAAAGTGGCAAAACACATAAAAAAAAACACATCATGGTAAAATTAATACCTTCTCAGCTTCGCATCGAAGCTAAAATCTAATAAAAAAACGTTATGTTAAATGTTAAAATACACGAGAAATACTATCAATTATTTTACTTTAGATCCTAATGATATGTTTAAGAATGATTAGTAAAAATTGAACATGTTTAAATTATTGGATAATTCTTGAAAATTCAGGATGAAAAAAATAATAATTTTTTATTTGGTTGATAGTTGCACAATAACAAAAAAATGTAGAAACATAATTGTTATTTTAAGAGTAAAAATAATAACTTTCGAAAATAATTTTAGAGAAGATTAAATAAAAAGATTATAAGTAAAAAACTATGTATAGGTAATTAATGGGGGTAAATTTCAAAGGTCAACGGGATGGTATGATTATTTTTATACAATTAAATAGTTCAATATTATGCTGAGCCTTGAATAAAATTGTAAAATTTTTCCTCTATATAAAAATGAAAAATCTTCAATCATTTTTGAAAAAATATTTATTTTAAAATATAACTTTGAATCAAATTTTTTTTTTTTTTTTTTAATAAAATATTCTCTTTATTTGTGTATTTACAGTCTATACAATGCGTACATTAAGTAAAGTTACTAAATTAATGGATTACATGAATAGGATGAATGAGTAGTTTACATTAGAACCCACCCAATGAAAGATAAGTATTTACATTGTTAGTTAAAATAATATAAATTAAAGATTTAAAAATTTTTTTTTTTATTCATCTCTTTAGTTGCTTGGTAATAGGTCTCTATACCAGGTGCATTTAAGACGTCGCGTTGGGTTGTTCGGAAGTATTTTGGTCCTAAGTTGGGCTATTTGAAGAAGAACAGTGTTGAAGATTCACTTACAGTTTTAATATTTAGTTCACCGTGAAGTTGATTATTAGTTACGAACCAAAGAGCTCTATTAATAACGTAAAGACATATTGATTGAAATGCTTGTATAATTTTTGTATTTGATGGTTTAAGTTGATTGGTCAAATCAACTTAAAAATTTCCAATGGTAACCCCAATTTTCTTTTATACCATAAAATTTATTCAATTGAAAAAAAATGTTTTTACATTATTTGATTTATAACGAGTTTTAACTATTTAGTGTTTAGGAGCGTTAGAAAAATAAAGTACTTAAAGCAACCATTCCACTCTATGTATTGTTAGTTGAATATTCACTAAATATTGCTGATACATGTATCATAAATTATCTTAATGTGATTTTTATGATTAAAAAATCATTAGATAAAATTGTGACAAAATGATTACCACTTGTTTTGTAATTAATCATTCAAATACCACAGTTTCTTTGAGTAAAAATATAAAACAAATTTAAAATAAGAGCACAAAACAATTCTATCATTTATTCTAAATAACTATTTTTGTTTTATTACATACTTTAACTTCAAGGAATTTTGAATTAAATTTCTGCAGTTTTAATTTTTTTATAATTAGTTTAGTAACCAAATGAGTTTTACTATTGGCTATAAAAATCTGTTTGTTACTTATATCACCATGTAAACCGATAACATTGAATAAATACACAAAGGCTAATTAATACTTTGATTTTCGCCAGAAAAGTTTTGTGAACGTTCAGGAAAGCAAGATAATTTATTTTATATCACCAAAATCATATAAATTGAAAACTTCCATTAGAAATGGACACATACAGAAAAGTAAAAGTAGTAATCCTCTTCGAATTAAATTAATAATAGTCTTTTATTTATTATTTTTTTTTTATTAATCGTATCCAACATTCTATCGTGTAGAATATCATGTCATCTGATAAAATCACTATATTTTCTTTTCTTGATTTAATATTGAAAGGCATCAGACAGGAGTATAGAGAAAACGCATTTGGAAACTGTGAACTTAATGATGATAAGTTTATATCAGTCGAAGTCTGGACTAAAAAAATCAGAAATCACAGTCTAAAAATTATGGTCCAAAATTAGATTTGCGAACTTTAAGGATCTTAGTCAGTCATGAACTTAAATATTTATCTAATGCTAAAAATGAGAATTCAATTGCATTCAGTTCTGGTGATCAGTTCGATAAAATTAACAAAGTTCATGATTGGGTCAAATCTGTAAGTAAAATTTAAAAATAAGTTGTACATAATTTCATAGAAATTTTTTTATTGATTTTTAGTTTGTGGAAATACATACATTTTCTGTTTTGAAAACTCCTGTCTTGCTATTAGATGGTGGTGATAACTTAGGTTTGAACACAACTTATTCCAGCTCATATAGACAAACAGAGGAATGCCATCCAGGGAAAGTACCTTTATATGCCTTTGAACAGTTAACTTCTCCAGGACTCTGTGAGAAATATTTGTACATTTTAAACATACTGTAATAGTATTTTTAAAAATCAATGTAATTTTGACGTAGAGTTAAAAATAACACTATTGAGTTATTTATTTTTTTCTGAACTCATAAAAAAAAAGAATAAAATTTTCACTGAATATTATTTTTTTTTAAACTAGTATTATACATTACATGAATAAAATACTCCTAAATTTAAACACGGTTAAAATTATTTATGTGAAATTCGTAATAAATAAATATTATTAGTTTCTATAGTGTTAGAATGTTTAAAAAATGGAAAAAATATAACTTCAATGCCTGCAATCAATGGAATCACTAATTTGCTATTAAAAGATCAGCAAGGATATTTAGGCAATGAGACAATTTTGGAAAAGACTAGATCTAGTCCATACGATATATACCAAAAATTTCCTTTTAAAGAAATGGCAGTTGCTGTGTTCAAAAGAATACCATCTCCAAGACTCAGTAAGTAAAATTGAAAGTTTTCCATCTTTTTTTTAATTGTTTACATTGTATCGATAAGACAGGACTTATTAAATTACTTTAGTCTTTAATTTTTGCTTGATTGGATACCACACTATTTAATTGAGTTATGTTAAAAGGCTAACGTTTCTTTTTAATCTGTTAAATTTTTACATCAATGTATTCAAAATTTCAGGAGAACTTATAAAAAAGTTTGACGAGTTTTTCTACATTAAAAGTCTAAAATTTTCAACGAATGTTGTACACAATAGTGTGTTAAAAAAACCATTCGGTTTTGAAAAACAATATGACAAGGAGAAAACACTTTTAAATGTGCAATCTTATCAAAAGGACAACTTACAGACCGTAATTAATGATAGTAACATAATTAACAAACTTAATTCGTTCATGAAAACCGATCAAAGTATTTCATACAATGAGATAATTTTTTAAAAGACTAGATCTAGTCCATTACGATATATACCGAAAATTTCCTTTTAAAGAAATTTCGGTTTCTGTGTTCAAAAGAACACCATCTCCAAGACTCAGTTAGTAAAAATATTATGTTTTAGTTTTTAACAAGTTTAAATTTGACTAGATTTCTAACAATGATAGTTTTTTTTTTAATGAATAAATTATTATACTAAAATACGGACATTTTTTTAATAAATTTCCAATAATTTTAGGTAAACTTATTGAAAAGTTTGACAATTTCTATGTTGAAAGTCTAAATTTGCGTTTGAATACTACACACAACAGCACAAAAATAAAACATTTTAAAATC